TTAAAAACGTCATTATTTTTTAAGATATATTTGATTGATGAAATACATAAATTTATGTATGCTATTAATTTTTTTTTTTTTTAATAACTTATGTAATGTGTTTTCGATAATAATAATAAAAAAAAACTTTAAAATGGTAAAATGTCGCTCAATCAATAAAAAAAAAAATTTTAAAACAACGCCACAATAAATAAATAAATAAATAAATAAAATATTTAAAATTATATAAAATAATTTAGTAATAATAATAATAATAATAATAATAAAAGTAAAATTTTCCTTTATGTCAAAAAACAAAGTAGATAAATAAATAAATAAATAATTAATTTTAAAAAAAATATGAAAGTAGTTTTAAATAAATAATAATTATTATTATTATTAGACTGAATAGATTAAAAAAATTTTAATAAAAAAAATATTTGTAAAACATTCACGAAATTTTTTTTTTTTTAATATTTTTTATTATTTATTTATTTAAATAATTAATTAATAATAAAAATAAGGGAGAGAAATAAATATGTTACCCAAGTAATTTAGTCAAAAATGATAATTAATTAATTAATTAATAAATTTTGTAATTTTTATTAGTAATTGCCTTAATAATTATTGAAAACGAAATAAAAAAATAATTAACTTATTTATATTATTATTATTATTATTATGGACAGTATTAAAAGATGAATGATAAATAATAAATTTAGTATATATAATAATATATAAATATTGATTGATACATTTTTGTTTATTTTACTGTTTTTTTTTTTTTTTAAAATATTATTTCAAATTTATTACGGTTTGATTATTATTATTATTATTTTTACACGTGTATTTTTTTTGTTTGTTACGAAAATGAAAAGAAAAAATGATGGAAAAATTTAGAATTTTCTAACGTTTCACTTGACTTGAGTGTTATTATTATATGCACCAAAGGAAATTTGTGATTTTTCTTTTTTTTTTTTTTAATATTAATAATTATGTTATTTGTTGCTTATTTTTACTATTTAAAAAAAATTTCTACTACTTCCATTTAGCAAAAAAATAATAATAATAATAAGTAATAAAAGAAAAAAAAAATTTTTTTCGGATTATTATTTTCTTAATTATTTTAATTTAAATAATATTATGTTTATAATATTACGTAACGGTTCTAATTTTTCTTTTTTATGTAAATAAAAATGCGTCGTGCAATAATATATATATATATATATAATTAATAAATAAATAAATAAAATATTTATTATGGCTGCCATTTAATTAATACCAGTGTTTTTGTAAAATGAAAAAAAAAAAAAATTTCCTTTTGGCAGCTTCTTTTTTATTTTATTTTCTTCCATGAATTTTTCTCTTTTTTTAGTGGTATTATTATTATTATTATTAATTATTTTGCAGGGAAAATAATTCATTTTATTATTTCTATATAAAAAAAAAAAAAAAAAAAAAATTTTTTTTTTCCTTTTAAATTTTATATATACCTTATTTAAATAAAATAAATTATTTTATATATATATTTTAATTTAATGCATTGGTTAAAGTTACTGATAATAAAAGAGCATTTCGTGTGATGAATTTATTATTATTTTTTATTTATATAATCATTATTATTATTATTATTAATTGAGTTCAAAATAAATATTTTAATTACTAATATTATTATTAATTTGTTTTTTTTTTTTTTTTTATAAAAATATATATTAAATAAAATAAATTTTTGGTTTTACGAGTGACTAGTCATTGTCGTGAATGGTCTTTTAGATTGATCTATATCCTTCGTTTCATTTTCGTTCGTTTGACCTTTTTCCACCACCATTTTTAAACTATTACTGTTATTCGAAAATTGTTCACTGTAATTATAATTATGTTAATAAGAAGACGATGAAGGTTAAGTTAATCGAATTTAAAAAAAAAATAAATTATTAAATTATTTAAATTACCCCTCTGAAAAATTGACGGTTTTGCAAGGCACTTTAACAAATTTATTATCGGCTGTTGTTATCACTTGTTCCATTTCTCCGTTATATATCAAAAGTCCGTCGACTAAAACCTACGAATATTATTTTTTTTTAAAAATTCTTTTTTGTTTTAAAGGGGGGGGGGAAACATGGCGGTATACAACACTCACTCCGAATTCTCTCACTCCTCTGCTTGGAGTTTTTGCATAGTTCCATAATTTTATGCATGTAAGTGTAACTGGTTCGTGAAATTTCAAATCTATTTTATTTATTGTAAGAGGAAGAACTGGTGCCAACCACATGTGACGATCATCTGTCGTATCGTTGATTCCATCGATTAATTTATCCGGAGTTCTCGCATCGTTTTTAATTCCGTTTAATATGTTAACACTTTCCGGTTCGGCGGTTATATCTGAAATTTTTACAAAATTTTATATATAAAAAATTATTATTATTTTGAACAATTACAATAAGGAAAAACATACTCGAAGGAAGTAATTTGATTATTTTTCCATTTTCGTCGTAAATTTGTAATCCGTTGAGTCCGACGTAGTAAAGATCTCCCCAAGTCGAATGAATTTGTATGGTAAAATTAAAACCGGTTGGAATGTAGAGGGTTTCGTAGGCAACGTCAGATGCAAGAGGGAAAAAAGATGGTAAATAAAACGTATTTTTATCATCGATGTCGTCGTTCCCCTCCTTATCCGTTATTTTCGGCTGTAAATAGAAAAAAAAAAAACAAAAACAAAAAAAAAATGAGAAAATCAATTATGGATTACGTCGACTATAAATAATTTAAATATTTCAAATGGCTAAAAATTTAAAATTGCCATCGACGATCGCACTTTAATATATACTTACCTCTCTATCGAATTCTAAAGCTGAAATTTGTCTACCGTAAATTTTTTTGGGTAAATCATTTTCTGACGTACCCAAATTATCCCAAGCTATTTTACTGCTAAATACTTTGAACGACTTACTAAATTTTAATTTTTCCAACGAATTATTTTTATCATAGATATTTATTAACTGAGATTTTTCAAACAAATTCAAAAATTCAATTTTTTTATCGTCTGTCACCTTTTTTCCAGTTTCGTCGTTAAAATTTTCATCTTTTTCAAACGAATCACCTAATAGAGACGAATGTGAAATACTTTTGCTGATTTTTTTACTACAATTCATAAACGGTATCATCCTCATGTTTTCTTTCGTTTTACCGGTCAATGGCCGATTTTCCTCCGATATTATTTCGGCTTCATCCAAATAATCGCAAAATCCTCCGAAATTAAAATAATCATCGTTGCCGGCGATCAATTCTAATATATTTTCGTTTGTCGTGAATAAAATCGTCTGAAATCGATAATCGAATTTATTTTTGTTAAGAAAAACGTCTTTAAAAAAATTTATTTAATTCAATCGTATAAATAACTAATTTATTGTTTGTTTGATTTCCGTTTTACTTTTTCGTTTTCTTTCGAAATAAAAAAAACAATTGACGAAGTTTTTATCGATTTTTTTTTTTTTTCAATTAAATAGGGGGGGGGAGGGGAAACCGATAGAAAAATGTTGTCATAGGCAAAGTAAGGGTCGTAGGAAACGGATTAAAATTAAAGGTCATTGACCTCATTATCTTTTATTACGGCGCGTCTAAGTATATCCCTTACAAATAAATCTTAACCTTAACGTGTACGCACATAACACCTTAATATATCAAAGATATACAAAAATTTATTAAGTGTTAATATCTATTAATTATTAAAAAGCTATTAAAAACTTACTTCTCCCAAACAATTTATGCTGTTCATAATTTCACCTGATGCTTTTGCAATTTCGCCAATGAATATTAAATTGTTATCTAATTTTATTTCCATATCTTTGGCCCCTCTTAAACAATGTATCCTACTCTTATTGTAATTCCAAATTCTCATTAAAGCTAATTTTTCAGTTTTTTTAAAATTTATAAAAATATAGTGATTAGATTTAGGAGTGAAAGGAGTTAACCACATGTGCATATCATCTTGCGTTAAATAAACGTTATCAATTAAATTTTGCACAACTCTCGGATCTTTCGAATAGTCTGGTAGTATATTAATATCTGGAGGATCAGCAGATATCTTAAAATAAAAAAAAAATTTTAGAATAAAATTTAAAATTTAAAACAATTAATTGCACTATAAGTTAATACTTACAGAGTCTATTTGAATTTTTTTACCCTGAATGTTAAAAATTTCAATACCGTTCAAACCCAAGTAATGTTTATCACCCCATGTTGATGTTATATTAAACACCAAATGTTTTCCAGATGGTAATTCAGGAATTATAAAGTCTTTAATAATTTTTTTTGAAGATGAACACAGATTTTTTTTTCTGGAACTTTCTAAGTGCTCGGATGAAACATTCGATGAATGAGTGCTATCCGAATGCCTACTATTATTTAATTTGTAATTTTTGAGATCGGTACTATCGATAAGTTGAGAATTTTTTTTATTTAAATTTTGGTTGTTTGTTTTATTATCTACTGAGATAAAATTATCTTTATCATTTAAAATATCATGACTTTTTAAAGTTTCTATTCCTAATCTTCCTTTTTGTTTAATATTAAATATATGTAACGAATTCCATGAATCTTCTAATTTTGCAATGTTTTCTTGTCTGATGTCGAGAGTATTTTCAGAGGTAGTTACATGAGATTCACTGGTAAAAAATTGTTTGAAATTATCTTGAACAATTTCTAAGTCTTCTTCATATTTTTGGTCTTTTGTACTATAATTCTTTCCAGATAATCTTGTACTTAATAGTGAGGGACGTGCCGAATAACTTCTTAAAGTTGTTTTGTCTTTGGCAAGAGACTTTTTGGTAGGACTATTTCCAACTGACAATGCTCCTGGAAAAGATCGTCGTCCATACCTTGGTGATACACCCACTGGCGAACTGCACAATTCAAAATCTATTTTATCATTATTTTTTGTGATAAGAGTTTTGTTTTCAGAAACTGCGGAATGTTTATTTTGAAAATCATTTAACCAATCTGGCTTATCATTGTCACATTCATCACTCATGATACGAAAAATTGTAAAAATTTCAATAATAAAACATTTTTTTTTAATGACACCGATTTACTAAATTTATTTGAATACATTTAATGTATTTTTTAAAATTATTACATAGCTTTATCAAGTTGTATACATCTCACAGCCTTGTAAAAATTCTCATTTCAAAAATATAGTTTTATTACTCTATGATTATGGTAAGAAAAAAAGATTAACTTGCGCAACTTGAAAAAGTTTTGTTTCTTAAGAAAAAACTTTTTTTTTTCATTTCTCAAAAACCTAAATTTTATTTCGTTTAAAATATTTAATAACTTTTATTGAATTTACATAACTTTAATTTTAATTATAACACTTAGAGCATGAGGAAATGTGAAATTTATATTATGGCGCTTAAATTATGTATTTAAATATTCTTTGGAAAAAAAAACTTCTTCCAAGTTACCATCTCTTTCCCTAAAAGTAAAATTTTAAGTTTAATATCATAAAATATTAAATTTTAATTGTCATCTTTAAAAAAAAAAAAAATATTTATTCACGTATTTTTAAAACATGTAAAACTGCGTAAGAATTTTATTCGAACTCATATTTAACTTAAATTTTAAATATTAACGAAAAAATATTTTTAGAAAAAAATTAAATGATCGTTATTTATTTTTTCAAAACAAACCTTTTTTTTGTTTTTTTTTTTTTTTTTTTTATTTTCTCACTGCGTGTAATTTAATCAGTTTTTGTTTTCAAACGTTTTTCAAACTTTTAACTTAATCTAACGAAATCAAAAATTATAAAAAAAAAAAAAAAAAAAAAAATGTCAACCCTGTCACTTAACATAATCCACAGCTTTTTTTAATTACGACTTTTAATAGATGTCACTGCAAGCAATTTTTTATAAAAATAATAATTTATCAAAAAAATTATTATTTTTACTTTTGTAATATTTAAAAAAATTTATACAAATTTCTTCTCTGAATCAAGAAAAACAAGATACTTAAAAAAAAAATTGCTTTATGAAAAAAAATTAAACTTAATAATATGTCTGTCGAAATTATTTTTGCCGGATTAATTTTTTTATTTAATTTAATAGGTATATTAGGTTTGTAAGTTGACATTGCTGCTTTGAAAACCTCCAGGGGGCCTGGAATTCTAACCTAACCTATGTAAATGTGGGTCGTTTGATCTGCGTTTGGACCCAAATTTAAAGTAAAACGCAGATATGGTTTTCAAACAGCCATTTTTTAAACTTACAAATGATGGTACCTTCAAGTATTATTAATTGGTAACATGAGAAAACCATAATTAAATAGTACATGTATTATTATATTAATTACTCTCAATTACATTTAATAATAAATAAATATATTCAGTGTAATATTAGATTTTTTTAATATATATATATAATCATTTTTATTTTTGATCAAAAATAAATAAATAAATAAATTTCCTTTCTCAATATCACAATCTTAAGTATTAACACAATTTTCCTTTAAAAAAAAAATATTCCATTGTACCTTACATTATTAAATAAAATGCAAATGTTAAATAGACAATAATATTCATGTGAAAGATATTTAACACTCGATTGTTTGGTAATAAAAGTATTACAATGAAATTTAAAACCATAATTAAGTAAACAACAATAAACAAATTTATGGTAAAAAAAAAAAAAAAAAAATCAAATAAACAAAATTTATATAAAATAAATAAAGCGTATAAAAAAGTTAAAGCTTAGGTATAATTTAACAATGAAGAATGTTTTTTTTTTCTTTTTTTTTTAAATGGAAAATTTAAAATAATAAAAACTTTACATGGCAGGCATAAAATAATTAAATTTTTTTTTTTAACATTAAAGCTTGGTCGTAGTGAAAGATATGAAAAACTGCAGGTTGTTGCATCCAAGGTTCACCATCGACTTGTACTGCTATTGATGATTTTAACACAATCTGCATTTAACAAAACCAAAATAAATAGTTTTAGTCGAAAAATTCTTTAACGATAACAGTTTTTTTTTTTTTTTTTTTTCCAAACTTACTTGTACTTCATTAGCTTGGCCAACTCTGTATGGAGAACCCAAACCAACTTGAAGTTGGGCAATATGTAAACTCGAATATAAAGCTAAAACTTCCAACTTTTTGTCATTATAACTTTGGCTTAATTTACTTTCATCTGTTTCGCTCATCTTCCACAAATGAACACCAGCACCCCAAGAGTCAATATTTAATACAACAATAGATTCAATAGCTGGAAGATTTTTCTTTTGTCCATCTAAATACAATTCAATTTTTTCATTCAAACCTTGACATTTTTTTTCAAACCATTGCTGTGTTCCATAACCAAAATACAATAACTGTAATAATAGAAAATTATGAAAGATTTTTGTGTTAACAACAAGTTTGTATTTTTTTTTTAAGTATTAAAGTTTACTTTGTTAAACATTCTGTTGCTAAATATATAAAATGGCGATTCTCTCGCTCTGTGGAAATCAAGGGTAACCTGAGCATCTACACCAATACTTAAATAATTATACATAAACAATTCTTTATTAACAGAATGAATTCTCAAAGATCTTTTCGGTTTAACAATAACTTTCCACCTATCAAAAAAAACTGTTTCTGCTTCTAGAGTATCATCCAAAACCAATGCGGGATTTACATGAGACGATATGCCTTTACCCCAACCTAAAACTCTTGATAAATCATTTCCAGTTCCTAAAATAAAATAAAATAAAATGTTAAAAATATTTTTCTAATGTTCAATAAATAAATAAATTTTTATAAATAATTTTAAGCACCTAAGGGAAGTATACCGACAGCAGGTAAGACTTGAAGCTTTGCATTTGCTATTGTGTTCAACACCCATCCAACTGTTCCATCACCGCCAGCAACCAAAATTTTGCAAGGAACATCATTAAGCAAAAAACACCATTCTAAAGCAGCTTCAGGTTTTTTAACTCTTAAATCAATTACTTGACCTGGATGTAACATTCCTCTAAAAGCTGATAAAATTTCTTCTCCATCATTATTTCCCGATTTACAATTAGCTATAACAATTAACGGAGACCAACCAGGCCAATCGGTAGGTTTAACAGATTTTAAAACTAAATATTTTTTTATGTTTGTTCTTTTTGTAACAACTTCAACAGATGAAGGTGGAATAATTAATTTTTTGTAGGGTCCAAAATCACATAACTAAAAAAAAAAAATAAAATAAATAAATAAGTTTTCTAAAACCTAAGAACTTTTTAATATTTAAAAAAGCTAATATAAATAATATCTAAAACATAACTAACATAAAAATCAAATGACATTCATTTACAAAAAATCCATACTTCAGAAAGACGAGGTTTGCAGGCTGTGTGAATGGTTCTTAGACACCAACAACATCTGAAGTTTTCAATTCCCCACCCTGAGCAATCAGTGTCACAAACATCACATATGCTTGATGCTGAAAGGTTTCCTTTAACCCAGTGGTGCTTCATCAATTTAGAAGAAGGATAAGTTATTGCTTTGCATGGCTCAATCTTGTTAGCAACAGGAGTGCAAGCTACATCAGAGAAAAGTCCACAGCAGTCACAATACATTCCCTGAGTTGTCATCATAATTTTTTCACAAATATTACAGTAGTTCGCCTGGAATCAAGGAAAATAGTTTTATTGTTTGCAGTAATAAAATCAAATTAGTAGAAAAAAAAAAAATGAAATAAAATACAATACTCCTTGAAATGAAGTTGTATTTTTCCAATTATGAGTTTTTGTGGCTTCTTTAATGGGACCGCGAACATCATTAAAAACGACCCTCACAATTTTCACTCCTAAAATGAAAACGACTACAGCAGTAACAGCTGTAACAATAGGAGAGAGCCCAAATTCATTATAAACCACTGATGGAGGAAAGGTAAAGCTTGTGACGTTAATAAACCGGTTTCGTTCCATATCAAAAATTTACTTAAATTTTTATGTCACATTGTAAAATAAAAAGAGTTTTGTATAAAAAAAAATTCATCTTTTAATGAAATCTAATTTATAAACACAAAAATTTTGTATTTGCATTATGGATTTGACAGTTGTTGATACCTTCTAGATGGGCTTTTAATTACGAATTATAGGTCTGTCTGAATCAGATGTATATTGGCAACCTTGTTGCGAAAATATGGCGTTTGGAAAATGTTTTTATTTGTTTTTTACTTAAACTCTAAGTAATTAAATTTCAATAAATACAGAAGAATAATTTGAGTTATACATTTCAGTAGATAAGTTTCTAATGAAAATAGTTTAAAATAATTTTTTTTTAAACAAATTAGTTTCCTTTGGAAAATAATTTTACAAAAAATTTAATTTAAATTTTCATTCACTCATTTACATTATTAACCTATTACTGAAAATGAGCGCTTTTTATAGAAAAGCCATTTAACTTTTTTATTGTAAGGAAAACTAAGTGATGTCAACATGTCTGGATTAGCTATGCGTAAAGGAAAAAAGTCTCTTAAAATTCAAGTTCCAGTGGAAGAAACAAACTATGCGTGAGTACTTAATCTTGTGGTTGACCGTTAACCCTAAATACTGATAATTTTATAATTCACTTTTTTTTATACGTTAAAAACGTTGTTATTAATATTAAATAACTCTAAAAACTTATTGACAATGTGTGCACCTGCTTTTTTTCATTATAATTTTTTCTCATTATATTACACTCCAGAACTCCGCCAAGGAATCTTGACAAAAGTACTACAATTACTATTGGTGATAAAACATTTGTCGTAGAAGCTGATGATCTTGAAAAAATGTGTGATTTAGGGAGAGGGGCATATGGAGTTGTAGAAAAAATGAAACATATTCCAAGCGGGACTGTAATGGCTGTTAAGGTATTAAAATCACATTTTTTATAATTAAAATTATGTAGACTTTATAAAAATTTCAATGTTAACTTTAAAATATGAAACTACAGTAAACATAATTGGGAAAAAATAATTTTTATTTATTCAAATAGAGAATAGCGGCAACAGTGAATACTCAAGAACAAAAGAGGTTATTAATGGATTTAGATATTTCAATGAGATCATCTGATTGCCAGTATACTGTTCAATTTTATGGAGCCTTATTTAGAGAAGGAGATGTTTGGATATGTATGGAAGTGATGGATACAAGCCTTGATAAGTTTTACCACAAAGTATACAGTTATTCAAGAGTAATTCCTGAAGATATTTTAGGAAAGATTGCATTCGCTGTAAGATTTAACATTAAAGCCTGCATGAATTGTTTTAAGTATTTTAAAATTTTCAGGTTTTGTAAGTTTTTTTTAAAAAAATTTTTTTAGGTTGTTAGTGCTTTGCAATATTTATATTCTAAGTTAAGGGTTATTCATAGGGATGTAAAACCATCGAATATTTTAATTAGTAGAACTGGAAAAGTTAAAATGTGCGATTTTGGAATTTCTGGGTACTTGGTTGATTCTGTTGCAAAAACTATTGATGCAGGGTGTAAACCTTACATGGCGGTAAAATATATCATCAATATATCTTCACATAAAGTAATATTTAAGACAAGAGATTTTACAAATGTAAAATATTTTTACAGCCTGAAAGAATCGATCCGACCGGTAACCCTTCTAATTATGATATTAGGTCAGATGTTTGGAGTTTAGGAATTTCTCTTATCGAATTGGCGACAGGAAAATTTCCCTATAAATCATGGGGAACTCCTTTTGAACAATTAAAACAAGTTGTAACTGATGATCCACCAAAACTGCCTCAAGGACAATTTTCCAATGATTTCGATGATTTCATTACAAAATGGTGAGTGCGTTGTTGTTTAATTTAACAAGTAAAAGAGTTTGAATGCTTCTTCTTTAAACTTTCGAAAAAGGTATTCGATCTAAAATTGATAAAAAATATTTATTTATGTTATCAAATATTAAAATGATGCATCAATTGAAATGATTTTTTTAGTTTAAAGAAAAAATATACGGATCGACCCAATTACGAGGAACTTCTTGAGCATCAATTTATAATAACTCATCGTGATAAGGAAACGGATGTTGCGAAATTTGTCGACGAAATATTAAATTTACCGGATGTGGTAAAATAACATTCGCAGTCATTTTTTTCATTTTTATTTCAACGTAAATGTTCGTTGAACGAATAGTCAGCAATAAACAAATTACTTTAGCAGAAGAAGAAAAAAGGTAGAGTCACAATTTTATTATTATTATTATTATTTTTGCACAATAGAAATTATTTACTTTTGAATTGTAATATCATCATAAAATACAAAAACCTTTTTTTTTTTTAATTTAATTTTTTAAACTGAAATGAAACACTTTTCGTTAAGCATATAATATTTATATTATTAATTTATTTTAATTTTCTATTGAAGCATAACTTTATTTTTTTCACCACAGGATAATCATAATAATAATAATAATCGTATTAATTTTATTATTGTTATTAAATATTTAGGCTCGGTTTGTAATTTTTTTAAGGTAGATGAGAAGATAGAAAAGCTATATATTTCGAATTCACGCTTAATAATAATAATAATAAGCAACACATATTAGTTTAAATGAATAAAAATGATAATGAAATAAATTTTCTTTAAATTTAGTTTTTTTTTTTTTTTTTAGTTTGTTATTTACTTAAAATAATTTTTTAAGACGTTTAAAAAGCGAAATAAATCCCTTACGTAGAATAATAATAATATTTTTTTTTTTTTTTAATAATATTTCTACCCGAAAATAAACATTTGGCAAATAATTATTAATTAGTTGTTAATAAATATTAATAATAATAATTAGTTGTTAGAAATTAATTTTTACAAATGAGGTTGTATATTTTCATCAATTTTTTTTTTTTTTAGAGTAAATAGTTGTTTAAATTATTTTTTTGCTCGTTTTTTTTTTTTTTTAGTTAAAAAAAAAAATTTTGATAACCTATTATTATTATTATTATTATTATTGGGCAATATATTTAGGGGGCCTTTAGTTTGCCACAATAATTTGTTTTTATTTTTATATTATTATGACTGTGTGTATTAAATATAAAATTTTTTCAATAATGTAAAAATTTAATCTATATATAAATATACATATAATTCAATCATTATATTATTATTATTATTATTAAAATGAATAAATTTTTTTTTTTTTTTTTGCAATTTGATTTTCTTTTGTTTTTTGTTTTTTTTGTTTTTTTTTTAAGAAAAATAATGCTTTGTTGTTAAATAGTTGTTGTAATATTTATAAAAATTGATTTATTAAAATTTTTTGTCAATTATTTAAAATTAAATTTATTTTAAAATCCCATTAAAAGATTGAGGAAACAAAAATTTAAATTTTTTTTTTTGTCATGTTCGTAAGTAAAATTTATTTATTTTTTTTTTTAATAAATAATCACGTATTTGAGACTAAGACAATATATTATTATTATTCTAGAAAAATTCATTTATTTTTAATATAATTTTTTTGTTTTTGGATTGTGACGACACTGTATTAAAAAATTCATTTTTAAAACGGAGAATTCATACCTAATTTAGTACCGAAATCGAGACGTTTTCGACGTTGAAATCTTTTATTTACTCTAAAAATAAAAAATAATTAATTAATTATTTTATTAACACGTTCGAAACGTATAACTAAAATTTATTTTACATTAACGTACTTTATTTCTTGCCATTTGACGCATTCGTTTATGAAAAATACTAGAAAAGGAGAGAGTATCACGATGGCAACAATGAACCAGGGTAGCGAAAAACGATTTTGTTCGGTCGGAGGTACGTTAGAGGAAGCATTTGATAATTCTATACTGGAAAATATTCCTTGAAGTAAAACAACCGTGAGAACGGAAAAAAGCCAAAAACAATTACTCGTCGGAAGCTTTTGCCAAATCGAACATTCTCTATGAACGAAACTTGACGACGTCGCCGCTAATAAAACATATTTTAATTAATAAAATAAAACGGAAAAAAAAAAAAAAAAAAAAAAACATTTCGGTATAAAAAAATATCAAATTCGACTAACCCACGTGTAAAACGAATGAAAACGCGCAAAGGTGTTGAACCGATATAAGAGTAAATTGATAATAATTCCATCCTTTCCAACAGGAAGGAAGAATTTCCGTTTGATACACCGAACTTGAATTTTGAACTTTGTTTAGAGAATCTAGAAAAATCTTTGTCATGTTTGCATTCGGATATATTAAAGTGCAACTACCATCCGCGGTCGTTTTGGATATTTCGTTGCAAAAGCAAGCCATTGTTGAAGAGTATAAAATTATTATGATAAATACGCTGGGTAAAATTTTCGATCCGTAACACCACAAAACGAATATTGATACCTGCAATCAATTCTACACGTTTTATATTTATTTAGGTTTTATGTAATTAAGAAAAAACAAACAAACAAACAAACCTCAACGTCGATTTTACACTGATTTTTTCCCGTTGCTTTTTGCATAACCTGTGAATTAGTTGGTAGAGCAACAAGTGACACAGATAAAATGGGAATCAAAGCACAACTAATGAATAAAATTTGATCTAAAAAAAAAAAAAAAAAAAAAAAAAAAAATTAAAAAACTATTATTGACACTTACTTAACCAGTACAAACAAATACAAACTTACGAATAGAAAAAAGTGGAGGCAACATAAAAAGAACGGCTAAAAATTGTAGGAGACTAAGTGAAACAGCAGCGCAAACCCAAAATTGCAAACAATTCATTAAACATTGAGTATAATGACGAGCTTCCATTATTAAATGGTACATGCTAAAAGGATCTTCTCTTCTCAGACTCACAGCGCATGCTATCGAATTTAACGTACGGCTTAATTCAATGGGAGAAGGACCGGAAGGAGTTGTAGTGGTGGCTGAAAATGCAGGGATTTTTTGACAAACTTGAGGATAAAGTGGTTCCACAGCAATGCTGAAAAATAATGGCACGTTGTAACATTGAAATTTTTCACCATGTTTAATTTAAATTTAAGTAATTCAACCTTGCATCCGCTTGCATAAAAATCCCAATGTTTTCGCTGTTTGCAGAACTTCCCATAACGCAAACGACTTCTCCGTAGTCTTGCATTATGTGAAGCATTTCTTTAGTAACTGCCGGAGTACAGTCGGTGAATAAGGAAACAAGAAGTGGAACATTATCAATTAAATCCAAATGTGGTCTAATGTTGTCAACACCCCTTGGAAGTTTTGCTTTAAAAAAGGTATTATTGATAATGTTAAAAAAAACTAGTTCTCCCATTTTTTTTTTTTTAAATAAATAAATAAATAAACCAATAAAAATTATTACTTAACATTACCTCTATTCCAAATATCAAAGTTTACAGGCACGCTTTGATCAGTTGAATCCGTTAAACAACTTAAAGATCTCCAAGGTTCAGGTTGGGAATTATATTCACCACTTTGTACTAATACACTATCTTCGGATGCTCGCTTTTCTCTATTTCGCCCAAAATAATAAATAAATAAATAAAATTTCCATGAAACAAAACTGAAACCGCGAAAATAATAAAAAAAAAATTCACCTCTTATGAAATTTCGGATCGTCACCGTCATCCGCCGCCATTGCGTAATTATCCGTTTCACCGCCGTCAAATTTAACGGTCGAAAGATCCGTATTAATGGCGCTGGGAGCAGAAAAACTCATGGCTCGAGATGATGCCAAATTGGTACTGAAATAAATTTCAAGTAGCCAATTATGAAAAAAAAAATACCCTAAAAATTAAATTTATAATTTTTTTTTTTTCTTTTTTTTTTTTTTTAAATCAATCAATTTTAAGCAACGACAAAAACAAAAACAAAAACAACAATATTAATTTTGCACATACCGAAAAGCATTTGTTTCCTGTACTTCTTGGTCGATTAAAGGATATTGTATTTTACCCTGAGAATTTGGCGCGAATGATATTGGCGAGGATAATCGTGAACGTCGAGGTAATGATAAATTGACCCAGGAATCTGATTGTCCGCTTTCTGATCTGGTTTTTTTTTTGTTTTTTTTTTGTTTTTTTTTTTTTTTCAACGCCAAAATAACCAAAGACAATAATACAAAAACGTTCAAAACAATCAAGCAAAAACAAGCAACTATTTTTTTTTTTAAAATTTTTTATAAATTTATTAACCCTTAAACTAGAAATTCGCTTTGGCTTAAAAATCAGGTATAATTATTGGTTAATTTAAACAAAACACATAAGAAAATTTAATTTTTTGGTAAGGTTAAATCTATCACTAGGTTAATATGGACATCTAATTTAATTTTTTTTACACATAACCCAAAAGAAAGAATGAAAATGTGGTTAAACTGTTAGTTATTTTTACTTATTTATCTAAAAGGTTTTAAATGTGTATATTAGTATTAAGAAACCCTGATGTTATAATTTGACAAAAAAAAAAAACAGAAAGAGATAAATAGAATTGTTTTAGTTGTAAATATCTATTACAGAAAAAAAGACATGTAGTATTTAACATCATGCTTTTGAAAGAATTCTACAAAGCATTCTTTAAAGTTTTGTTATGTACAAAAAAAAAAAAAAAAAAAAAAGTTGAAAATTAAAATTAAAATTACTTTTTTTTACCTGTTTCTTTCACTCAATAATGATATATGACAGTTCCAACCGCTTTCCAATCCCATTTTTTCCGAAAAAACCCTAGACCTTAATTCGTTTTCTTTACTGAAATGTACAAAACGTATGCAAGCTCTTTCCAATTGTTCAATCAACTGTACAATGTCAATTTGAGCTTGATATTGCATCGTGACCATTCCAATAAAAATTTGATTGCATTGAAGTTCGAAACAACCTTCCACGTCAGATGTTTCCTCTTCTTCTTTAACGTCTATATTTAAAAGAGAGTCTAAAAAAAAAAAAATTTCCTTTTAATTATTTCAACTCTTTTTTTAATAAATAACATTTCTTATTCGTTTTAATACCTGTTGAATGATATTGAGCCAATACACCTTTCCACTTACTATCCATAACACTGGCTGCAATCGGAGTTGGACTTCTGTACGGCAAATAAAGGTGTTTGCTGTCTACGGGAAGCTCCAAGTATACTTGAGATAATTTCGAACAGACACGTTTAGATAACGGACGATAAGCAAAAGCTGTACAATAAGCAGTAAGACTGGATCTTTGGTAAAAATCTAAAATTTTTTTTCTGGAAAAAAAAAAAAATTTAACAAAGTGTCAAAATGTAAGAAAAATAAAATTTTAATTTTAATTCAAAATGTGCTCCACAAAAATTTACCGATCGGCTGGAGTTAAAGGATACAAATCGTGTCCATCCCAATATTCGACGCAAGAATCTAAAATAACTTCTGCCGTACCTTGACTCATTAATTGCAAACATCCAGACTTTTTTTCTCTCACCACAGTCGCCATCATATGAGGGAAAGGAAATTTTAATTTTGTAGAAATTGAAAGCTGTCTTGCAAACTTTATATCTCTTCTGACAGAATCCGTTTGCTGGAAAAGTTTTTTTATAGATAGATAGTTTAAAAAAAAAAAAAAAAAAAAAACAAGTGGATTGAAGAAATTATTAACGAACCACATGTTTAAAAGTACACAATTGTTCTTCTAAATGGAATATGTCTTGAGCTTGATCGATAAAACCGATTTGCTTAGCTAATTCACAAAGACATCGTCTGTTTGTTACGGGTACTAAATCTTCATTATGAATAGCTTCACAAGTTATATGAGAATAAAACTGAGCATAATGTTCCTTTAAAAATAAATAAATAAAAGTTTAAATTGATAGTATTTAAAAAAATTTTCAATAGACAAAATTAATATTTAATAATAACCTGAGTGGCCATGTTGCAGGTATTTAATAAAATAGCTAAACCTAAAGGCTTTAAAGAACTTAAAAATTGCTTCCAAGATGGATCATCAAACTGTAACCTAAAAGACGTAGAATGATCATGAGTCAAATCTAACACTTCGGCTGTGGTTTGAGATGTTGTTTCTGAAAAATTATTAAATTATTATATTTTATAACAAAAAATAAAAAGAGTTAACATTATGAGCATCATATATACAATGTAAAATATTATATAATGAAATTTTTGAGTGTCGTTAGCAGAATTGACATTGGAAAATTACCTTTTAAAAAAGGTTTAGGAGGAATGCTTTCATTCGAATCATTATGAGTTTGTAAGCATTGCACAGAAGCTTTTTGTGGAGTAGAATTCAGACTTTCTAAAGATTTTGTTTTATTAGAGTTTCTCAAAAAGAAAACTTTTTCAGCTGTAGGATTTGGCCAAGATAAAATTCCCTTTTTATCTACACAGCAAAGGGCCTTTGAAAGAGAAAACAAAGCTTTAACTAAAAAGAATTATATTATGTATTAAATTTTTTTAGCTTACTGTCACTGATCCAAGAACATGAAGAATATTCACAGATCTAGTCAGATATGGTCCTTTTCCAATTAAAACTTCATAAAAATATTTTTTTAAATCGTTAAAACGAAATTTATAAACTGGCTGTTTGCTTTCTCCGATGTCAGTATCTTCAAATGGGTCTAAATTCTAAATGTTAAAAAGATCAAGCATAATTTAACTATTTAAAATTCAAATATATATATATATATATATATATAAATTTAAAATAAAATAAAATAATTGTCAATTCAACTAATCTCTTCTTACTTGTGTGGGAGCTGATTGTTGTAAAATTGCTCGAATCCTGGTCATCCCATAAGCGTTTAAAAAGAACCAAAATACTGGAAATATTAAAGGTAGCAGGGGAAGCACAACTGATATAGGTTGAATAAAAATCATTTCACTAATGTCACCTTTTCCAAACCATTCAAATAAATAAAAATATCTTGTAAGATTACATATAATAGTTAAAACCTAGAAAATATTTTTCATCAATAACGGTAATTAATTCACGATAGTAAAAAAAGCATTTCAATAAAAAAATACCATTAGAATTGGAACTGCAGTTTGTTCAATGCATTTAATCATTAATAAATGTCTTTCCTTATTATGGTAGGAAATTGGTTTAAAAAGTGATTGATCTAAGACAACTTTTAAATTTCTTAAATATGGAGTTTCTTCAAGAATATATTTTTTGTTTTGTAAAGGAATTCTGGCTGAGGGTACTGTAAACATTTCATTTGTTGATATGGCAGGACTATAGATTTCATGTGCATGAAGGACAGGACTGTTTTTATCCTAAAAATAAATGGCAAAATTATTATTATTATTAAACAACAATTAATTAAATATTATTCCTTAAATAGATAGTTATCTTTTTATTGTCACTTTTGACTTACATCAAATGGTGTACAAAAACCAGGAGAAGTTTGTCCTGGCCTTATTATTATAACATCTCCTCTGACGAGGAGAGCCCAAGGTAAATTTACAATTTCTCCATCTCTGTAGGTCCATTGTAATGTTATACAAGGTGAAGCTGGAGTACATAAATGAGGATAATTTAAAGGACTCCAATTAACTAATTCTCTGCTTTTTTCTAAATTTTCTAATATTTGATAAGCTCGAGTCAAAATTTCTTGATGCCTTAAATTATTGTCCCATCCGACTACACTCAAATTTAAAAGTGTAAGAAAAAAAATAATTAAAATATCTAATGGTGAAGTATTATAGGTTTTGCAAGAACCAGAATTGTAAGCAATCCCAAGAGAAAGTATGCTGATCAATAACAAAGTGATGGAAGTCCAACAAATAGTTGTATTTTGACTACCATGATGTAAAGTATCATATATCCAAGAATTTTTTTTTTTTAAATATCCTCTTTTATCTATAGTTTCCTTTAAAACCAACTCGAAATCGCTGTGTAAGCGACCGAGGGCTTCATTAGTAGTTAAACCTATTATATCATTACATACCATAACTATTGAAAAAGTAAAAGATTACTAATAATAATAAAAAAGTATACAAAAAATAATCTTAAAGCCTTTCATTACGAAAAAAGAAATTTTTTTTTTTTTTTTTTATATATTTATTTATACGATTCAACACCTTTTTCGCAATTGATTAAATTTAAATAAAAATAAAATTAAAAATTAAATTATTCACATCTTGAAAATTAATTTTATAATAACGAAAATTTAATAATACTTTAACAAACGGAAAAAAACAAACATTTTTTTTATTATTAAAAATCACGTGATTTGACGTTTTGAAACAATTTACGCGATAAATTATAAAAATGAAAACGCATATATAAATTATATACAATCCCAGTATTTATTTTCTCAAAAAAAAAAATTTAAATAATTTCATGAAGGAAATTTAAATAAGTCATTAAATTACTAATAAAATTAATAATTTAATAATAAATTAATTTTTAAAAAATCTTTTTCACCCATTTCAAATTAAAAAAACTCCATCCTTGACAAAAAAATTTCCCTGAATAATTTAAAAAAAAAATTTTTTTTTTTTTTTTAATTTTTTTTGTTTAAAATAGAATATTATCGGTTGAAAAAATAAATAAATCACATTTTTATCTATATAAGACAAAATTTATTGTAAAATTTTATTGTTAAAAAAAAGGGAAAAATCTACAATCAATTAAATATATATATTTAAATGTTATTGAGGCAAAAATTTCATTAAATAATTATTTCATTTATTATATTAAAACTTTCTATTAGTTTATCAATTTTTATCATTTTTTTTTCCATTGAAAAATATTCATAATAAAAATATATACCAGATCGTTAAAATTTTATAAGCAAAATAATAATAATAATAATCAACCAAACATTAGAATGAAAAAAAAATTTAAAAAAATTGCTACTAAATTTCATAAACATTTTTTTACTTTTTTCCTAAAATCTTTTTTATCATTTATATAAGTCATTAAGAGTTCTCCTCCCTTGTATCAATGTTGATGTTGGAGGCTATTCAGACACACCAAGGAAGAACCAAATCTGTAGTAGTTTGAATCATGTTCGAAGGAGGTATCTGCGAAGGTAACAATAAAACGAAGACAAAACCTTTAGCACCAATATTTAACAATTTTTAAATATATATATATATATCTAGGTACATGTACATACGTTGATACATGTGCACACACTATATTATTAAAAAAAAAAAATTAATAATTATCATTATTAAAAAAAAATATAAATTTAAATAACTAACAATAAGTATGAAATGCATGCTAATATTTAAATTGTTATCAGGGGATTATAAAATGATAATAAATAAATCAATCGTTTCGTTCATTTTAAACATAGAAAACCAAAAAAAAAATATGTTTATATTCATAAACATAATTCGTAATAAGTGCGTGTGTGTGTGTGTGTTTGTGCGTAAACGTATGTAATTCATGTATTAATATTAGGATTAATTAAATTATCATCATATCTTTGGTGTTTTTTGTTTTTTTTTTTTTTAAAGACAAAAACTCTTTCATTTTTTAATAATAAATCATTTTCTTAAATGTCTAATTTTAATTATTATTATTATTATTAATATTAATAATTAATTTTTTTTATTTAATTCATGTAAAATTAATTAACATTTTTTTTTAATGCAGTGCAATTGTTAAATATATATAAAAACCCGTTTAATAAATAATAAAAGCCACAATATTGGTTATTATTTCAAAATAATATTAATTAAAATTATAAATTTAATTAAATATCTTATGTTTCTTTCATTACCATAAACCAAACAAACAAAAAAAAAAAAAAGAAACCTTAAAAAAAAAACAAAATGGCGGTTTTTTATATTAATTGAATTTTTTCTTTTTTTTTTCTCTTAAAGGGCACTTATATCACACAACAATCCAAATGAAAATAATAAATTTTGAAGACATTTTTTTTTTTTTTTTTTTATGGCAAGAAAATTTATGTATGTTATTATCATCAATGTATATGTTTTTTTTTTATACTTATGTATATATATATTTTAATAAATAGCATCTCGATTAATTATTTTAAATTTTTATTATTATTTTTTTTTTAAAACTAGATTTAAAAACAATTAAAATTATTTAAAAAAAAAAAAGAAAACTTAGAAATTATTATTATTATTATTATTTTCTAATATGCGAATTGAATTTATGCTTTTCCCTTTTTTTCTGTTTTCCTCTTCTATTAACAAATTCCGGAAAATATAAATATCATTATTATTATTTTTCCCTCATTTTTCAAATTAAAAAAAAAAAAACAAAAAAAAAATCAATTGATTACCTTATTATTATTATTATTATTATTATTATCACTTCAATTTCATTTTTAAATTATGTAGTATTATATAAAATTACACAATATAAATTTTTTTTTTTTTTTTTTATAAATCGTTAAAATTACATTATTTATTAATAATAATAATAATAATAATAATTATTTGCGCATTTTTAAAAAAAAAAGCCATAAATACAACAACAACAACAACCTTTTTCATTTTTCATTTTTATTTAAATCGACGTCAAAATGCCAATCAATCAGCCTTTTTTTTTTTTTTTTTTTTTTGAATCAACGAAAAGGCATAACCTTTTTTTAAAAAATAATAATAATATAGTAGTAGTAAATTAATTCACACTCAGTAAACTTATATTTAAGTTAAAAGAAAAATTAATTTGTTTTTTTTGTTTTTTTTTGTCTTCTCATATTATTATTATATAATCTTATTAATCCACGGTAAGAAATCAAAAAATCCAATAATATATATAAAAAAAAAAAAAGATTTAAAAGGAATTATTATGTAATATTAAAAATTATTAAATAAAAATCCTTATATGAAAACCTATTTTTGTTATTTAACGCGAATAAAAAATAATAATAATAAACAACAACGTGTTAAACTAATTATTATTTAAAAACAGACTTTTTTTTTTTTGCAAAAAAAAAAAAAAAGCAGAAACTTTTTATTTTTCCCTAATAAGATATATATATATATATATATATATATATATGTTTTCTTGAGGGGAGAAAGAGAGAGAGAGAGAGAGAGAGAGAAAAACTGTGTTGTATTTTATGCACGTGTGTGTGTATATACACATACACAAATGATTATATATAAATATATATATAATCACAAATTGTACACCGGGAAATCAAAATAATATTCGTCGTATTGAATCATTTTTTTTATTATTTTTCTTAACTTATATTTATTCACCCGGCGAAATTTTTATATTCGTGATAATATTATTATTTTTTTTTTTTTTTTATCTATTCATTTATTTATTTTTATTTTTTTTTGGTTTATTTTGATCATGTTTTTTTTTTTTTTTTTTTTTTTTGTTTTTTTTTTTTTTTCGTTTTCAACTTTCAAACAGAACTCTTAATAACTTACCAATGGCGATGATAAAAATAATAATAATAATAATAATAATAATAATAATGACAATAATTTTTAAAAAATTAAAAAAAAAAAAAAAAAAAAAAAAAAAAAAAAAAAAAAAGGGTTAATTGTAAATTTTAATAGCTTTTTCAAGATAATTGAATCTCGATCTCTTCGGAGCTTTATTCACGTGTTCTAACCCTAGCCAAGGTTTTACGTTGGAGGAACTGCCTTTTAATTCTTGTATATTCATTACAATGTCTGATTCTTCTCCTATAAATCTTATTCTTGAAGTTACTATGGCGAATTTGAACTGAAATTAAATAAATAAATAAATAAATAAACGTTTAGACAATTTTTTATGACCGACATAAGTGACACAGGTGATAATTCGCTTACTTTTTCAAATTCTTTTTCTTGAATATCTAGTTTTTTGAATATTCTATCTTTGACTTTTGAAAAAGGTTCACCCTGAAATAAAGAGAAAAATGTACGCCTTTAAATAAAATAATTTACGTAATTATTTTTTATATTTTTTTTGGTATTATTTATTTACTCAAACACTCACGTTTTTAATTTTTAAAAAGAATGGAATGCCAAACGTTGCATACATTTCTTTCTGAAAGTGAGCCACGGGAAGCAACATTTCATCCTCTTGTAACTCAACTTCATCCTTTGGGATTTCTTCTATCCTGTAAACTTTCATCGAAGCTCCCGGTTGATTTAATGTATCTAAACCAACTTCTTCTCTTAACGTTGGACCTATCTTAGAAGATTGCAATTCAAATATCCTGTTAATGAAAAAAAAAAAATTTTTTTAATTAAAATTGAATAATGGATTAAATCAAGATTTTTTTTTTTTCGGTAAAATCATCCTTATAAGGTCTTAAGATGGTACCTAAGTTTTCCAGAGCCATCAGGTGATAATTCTACTTGTTTCTTGGCTTCTTCTAATAAATCTGAGACAAGACCTCTTTTGTTTGGATAAAGCATCAATTCTTTTTCTTCTTTAAGATTAGCACCTACCCAAATACACTAAAAAAATAAAAATAAATTAAATTAAAAAAAAAAAAAAAACATTAAAATAAATAAATAAATAAAAACTTGCCTTAAATTGTTTTTTATTTTCCAATTCATCTATAGGCATACTTAAGTGTTGGTAAAATATTTTTCTAGGACCTTTTGGTTTTGAATACGCGAGGAGATCTTTTAAAGTTCCATCAAAACTACATCTCAAAGGATGACCTGGACTATCTTTAAAACTTTAAAAAAAAAAAAATTTTATTATTTACGATTTGAAAAAACATTTTTTTAAAATAATTCCTTTTTTAAATTACTAACCTTTGACTTTTAAAAAATTGTAATAGTGAAGGATCAGTGTTCAAACGTTGAGCAACTGCCCTTGCTATTTGATTGTATGTCATGCGTTGCGACAAATCCATCGTAAATCCAGGATCGGTAGAAATTGATTTATTGCAAAATGTAACTTCTATGCGATGAAATAGGTCTCTAAAGAGGGAGGGGAAAAAAAAAAATTTTTTTGTTTTTAAATTCTACATCTTTTCTAGAGTTTAATGCGAATTCAAGGTCAAGTATTTACGTATAAAACTTACTCGAAATAATCTTTGCAATATGGTAATTCATATGAGTTTTCATCGAGCCTTTCATCTTTTTGAAAAACTATTATATCTCCATCCATTAATTCTTCTAAAACTTTTTCTAAAGGTTCATTTATATTTTCAATTCTCTCTATTAGACAGGGTTTAATTTCTTCATATAATGCTAATTCAGTGTCCGGCGGAAAACCAGCTCGTTCATTTAAAAGTGGCACCAAATGCTCTATAATTAAATTTAACAAAAAAAAAAAAAAAATTTTATGTTATTTCTAATCTTGTAATTCCATTACAACTCGCAAAGTTTTTTTTTTTTTTTTTGTGCAAAGGTTAAAAAAATGTCACGATTCAATATTAAAGTTACTTACGAACTTTTGCCGACACTGGCATGTAATGATGCCCGCAATAATGAATTTTTTTATTCTTGGGATCGTATAATTTAAAGAAAAGTAATACATCAGAATCTCTATCGAAATGAGGCAATGCCGTTAAACCTGAATCGGGAGGCACCATTTCCAAGAAAACGGTGAAAGGATTTTGATTTTCAGCAACATCTAAAACGGTTTTGTTAAGTTCCGTTTCCAAATCTAAAAGTGTTGGCCGACGAGTTGAGTTTGACCTAAAACCAAACGGCCAAGGTCTCATTTGCTCTTGAGGGCAATTCTGAAATATAAAAAATAATTTATAATTTTAAAACATATACAAAAAGGAAAAGTGATGAGTTAAAATATTAAAAAAAAAAAACATACAAAAGTTTCAGAGAACATTTGCATCAATTCTTGCACCGTCGTTTGTTTTCGCACTCTAAATTGCCTAAAATGAGCTTTATCGGGATCGAAAAGATCGTTACCCTGATGCCCCTGAAATTCTTCTTCTAAAATAACATTTACTTGCATATAAAGATGAGCTTCATTTCTTTCTTTACGCCTAAATTGCTCCAAACGTTTTTCTTCTTGCAGTCTATCAGTGAGCTGAAATTTTTTTTTTATTTTTTTTTAATTATCAAAAATTCAATGAAAGTTTGCCTTTCCAAAATACAAATATATATATATATATATATATTAATAAAATAAAAATTCTTTAAATTATGTTTTTAAATAATAATTAATTGTAAATCAACAAAAATTACAACATTGTTTAATTTGATTTCACTTTTTTATACGTTATCATATTTCAATTTATTTATTTATTTATTTATTTTTTTTTTTTTTAAATAAGTTGACCTATAACTACTTAAATAATAATACTTAAAAAATAATAATCAGATTTTAAATTATAAATTTTATTAAAATTAATTTCAAAAAAATTTTAAAGCGACAAATCAGTAAATAAATCAGTATTCTAATTGTACATGAAAAAAAAAAAAAAAAAATTCAAGTCCAGTTGAGTTCCGAGGCAAAATTTATAAAAATTCATTGTTTTTTACCTCTTGAGGGATATCTTCTTCGTTGACCGGTTGTAAAACATTTTTCAATTCAGAGTCACGAATGTAAACAAGCATGTAGGCATTAGTACAATGTTTAATTGTAAGGCTCATTTCATCTTCAGCGTGGCCACCAAAATTTGAATCTATTGCTTCTTGTTTGGAACACCTTGATACGACATCATCATCGAATTTGCACCACTGAAATCAAATAAATGGTATTTTCCCTTATTAATCAATTTGTTTTCCAACGGTAATTATTTGCTTTCAATTCTCAATTCATTTCAAAATTATAGAATTAAAAGGCTTTACTAGATGTTACTAGAAACGAATTAATATACTTACGCGTCCATCTCCCTTTGGATTAATAAATACTACATAATGACCACCGTGGTTGTCACCGCTATGTACAAGTACGGCATGCAAAATATAATCGGCACGCGTGCTTTCTTGATTTTGTAAATACTGATCCAAGTTGATTTTTTCATAAAATTCAAATCTAATAAAAAAAAAAAAAAAAAATTTCCCAACGTTTTAATTATTAAATATAAGTATAAAAAATATTTACCGATATATGATTAATTTTAAAAAAATAAAACTCACCTATCATTAAATTTAACTGAACAATCAGTTACAGGATCATATTGAAATCTCATCAAATGTAAATGTAGGACGGGTGGAAATGACGCAAATATAACACCCTTTTCAGCATCTTGCAAGCCATATTCTCCTGCATCGTATTTATTATCACCATCGAGTGTTACCGTTGTTACGTAGTCCCGGAATGATTCGTCAACTGTGTAAAAAAAAAACAAAAATGTCGAGTTTTTAATTCTTGCACTGAATTATAAAAAAAAAAAATGTAATTAAAAAAAAATGTTTTTTTTTTTAAAATACTAACTATTTTTATTGCCCTTTACATTTAATTGTATGTCGTAAAATGTTTCAACCCTAGTAGAAGTATAATTTACTAATTTACATTTAATAAAGGAAACCATTTTTCCTTCAAACAATTTTGGCACTGTTCCTTCAACGCAAGTGCCTTTCATTTTACTTTCTAACTTGTCCAACAACTAAAAAAAATTTTAAATACTTAAAGAAAGAAAAAACAAACGAAAAAAAAATTTTTTTCATCAAAACAAAACTTACAACACGAAGAAATTCTTGAACGTCGTGTTGCATAAAAGAGTCTAAAGTTTCCCAGCCAAAAGATTTTGTTAATTTTTTCGTTCCCACGGGCTTATCGGAAAATTGTAATTCATAAAATACTCTTTGAAGAGCTAATGCTACACTTTTCGCAGAATCGTCGCTTTCAGTTGGCATTTTATACACAGCCTAAAATTAAAGTCGAAAACAAGCATTCATCAATAAATATAAATATAAATTTTGAATTTTAATTTTTTTTATGCGTTTGAGCATTAAAATATTTTACCTTTCTGAGTTGATTAGTAAAATATAATGTTTGTAATAATGAATTCATATAACAAGTGGCTCCTTGGTTTTTAAGTCCTACAAAACCTGTGTGCTTTTTCGAGTCCCAACTAACACCGTGAGGAGCATCAGCATTAACGTGTACTTCTAAAATGATCGTATCATCTTTGATATAACCTTTTTCAGGTTCTAAAACATCTTGCCAAGCTAAAAAGTGGCTAAATCCCCAATCATTTTCCTTGCAATAAAATAAATGTGAAATCTCTGGCAAAAAAAACAAGCAAACAAAATAATTAAATATAAGTATGTGTATACATTTTCGTTAATTTCTTTATTATTGTAAAGGCAATTACTTCTGCAAAAAGGCTCGCCATCTTCTTTCTGAGAGAGCAATCTAAGTTCAGCGGATGCATAACAACTCCAACTTGTACTTTCACTCTCTCCATTGCACTGTAAGAAAAATCCCAGAGCTCTTTGGGGCTGCCTTTCTTGAGTTTGACTCGTACGTTGCATAATCATGATTTTCCATGGTAAATTCCGTACGTAACACGGTTTTGACAATTGACTTTCGCGAAGTCTACTAAAATTGTATACTTTATGTTGAAAAGTAGCTTCAGATCTAGCATTATCTAAAATTGAACGTGAATTATTAAAAAAAAATCTAAATTAGAAATTAAAAATAATTTTTATATGTAAAGTAAATTGTGATTGATTGATGACCATCATTTAACCATTACTATCAATACTACTAACCTTCCTCCATTTCCGCGTCTTGATATTGGGCTTGCTCTTCTCCATTCATGTGATGTTCTGGACCTTCATTGCCTAGAGAAATAGTGTTTTCTGTTAAAAAAAATTAAAGTTCAGCTTAAAAAAAAAAAAAAAATAAATAAAAGAACAAAAATGCAGGAATTTTACTTTTCAAATTTTTTTATTTAATTTAAATAAGCATTACTTTTATAAGAACCCCAAAAAAAATATAATTTAAAATAAAAATATTTAGCAATTTTTAATTTCATAATGGAATTTTGAAAGTTTGAAAGGATAAAATTTCTGGTACGTTAACGTTAACAAATTAAAATTTAATTTTTATTCGGAAATAAAATTAGGAGATTGAAATGAAATTTAAAAAAAAATTTCAATTAGTAACCAAGTAATAAGTAAAAATGAATAACAACCGAATAACCGGACAAAAAAATTAATTTAGCTTTTTTTTTTTTTTTTTTTTTATGGCGTGTTATTCAAAAGACGAAAACATTTTATTTTTTACAATTTAATATCAAGTTTACTACAAAACATATTTCCAATTCATTCTAAATGTCTGATTATTAAATGTTTACCTGACCGAACCTGGCTATTTTTTTTGAATATCATTGAAATTATAAAGAAAATAAATTCAAAATGACATATTAACTCATACCAAATTATCTGCAAGTTTAAGAAACTCAAATTCGACAATCGTTTTTATTTTTTTTTTTTTATAAAATCATAATACATTATACGCAAATGTAAAGCAGAAGAATTTTCTTTAAGAAAATAAAAAAAAAACTGTTTTATTAAACATAAGCCCACACAGAAATTTGATAATTCGCCAAAAAACTTTCTGTTGGAGTTCAACAGGATTTGTTACGACAGCGTCCTTTAACAGATTTTGACGATCAACTTAAACATTACTCCACACCTACAGAAATTATTTATGTAAAAATTTGCATTAAAAAAATACATTTTAAATATATATATATAAATATAAAAATTATTTTATAAATTTAAAAGCGTATATTTTTAGTACACTAAACTATAATTAGAATATGTATATAGAATTTAAGTGTGAGAGTAACATAAAATAAAAATTATTATTATTATTTAAATTTTAAATTGTTTTATAATATTTAAATAAGTGATAAAAATTAAAAATCTATTTTATCTATAAATTATTACTACTTTATATACAATAATTAAAAGTTAAGCTGCAAAAATTTATCAAGGAAATAAGTCATTTTACTTATACACAAATTGATTTGAATGAAGAGAATTGAATTTTATGTAATTTCCACTAGTGAAAAAAAATTTAGTCTTATCTCAGACTTATGGAAAATTTTTTATTATTCTATATAATGATAATAAACTATTTTTGACATATTCAATTTACTCACTAAAAATTGGAAAAAAGGAAAAAGGAATGAGAAACTTACGTCTCCTTCTGAGTTCAGGATATTCATAGGTGTCTGAGTCTATAAAAAAATATTATAAAATATGTTAGAAAACAAATTAAATAACTTTTCGAATAAATTTTGTATAAATTAAAAATTTTGATGTGATTCGTTAAAAAATTTTTAATCATCTTAATCATTATAAATATAAAAAAACAAAAAGCCAATAATTGAACAAGTTAAATTTTTAAAATCTGTATTAAAATAAAGATCATGTCTAATTTTAAAGCTACAACATATTTTTAAATTAATAACTATTATAATATGACTGTTATTTTTCGATAATGTAAAATTTAAAACATGTTTGTAAAATGGTGATATTTGACTTGGGCATTTTTAAGAATTTATTTTATATCATTTTGTTGAAATTAGCAAACTCAGATTATATTATTTAATCTCACATAAGGTTTTCAATGTAGAAAAATATAGAATAATAAAATAAATAACAATATGCTAATGTTGGTAAATTCAACTTGAATAATTATTATTATAATATTATAAAGGCGAGGATTATCTGTTTATTCATAAATCATAATGATAATGCAAAATAAGGTAGAAATTCAAAATATTTATATAATTAAAATTAAATAAATAATAATAATTTTTGTAATGTAGTCATTAGTAAATTAGGGATATTAAAAAATATGTGATTATTTTTATAATTAAAAAATGCGTGGAAATTAAAATTTTCTTGCATAAGCTAGTTAAAAATAAATAAATGGCTGCCATAATAAGTGAAGTCTATAAAATATACCGTACCTCCATCAGTTTCCATTTCTTCCACATCGTTGTTCTGACTATCTGGTTCATTAATGTGGTTCATATTTTCAAATCTAGTTATAGCAGTAAAATTATTAACCACTTCAAGTGACCGCACTGATTTATCGCCTGCACCTCGAGAATTTTTACCCGATAGGGTCACTTTAACGTGCTTGCTCGCGATGCGCCCAATGTCTGCGGATTTCTACACCCCCTGTTTCCAGGGGAAACAGCCCAACCATATATTTAAATGATTATTACAAAGTTCCCAGTCTTTGAAAAATTTTAAAACCTATATTATGGGACGCACAAAAATGACTTTTCATACAACAAAAAACAAGATGGCGCTAGAGAACAGACTAGCGCATCTTCATATTGAGTATTATTATTCAGGCGGCAAAGACTTAAGCGGTAAAACACAATATTCAAAAAAGGAAAAAATTTTAATTTTTTATTTATTAATTTAAAAGCCAAAACAATAACTAAAAATTACAATTATATTTTAAAGACAGCGCAGGCATTCATCTAGTTAGCATTTCCGTTTTATATGAACTTGACAACAAATTTGCTGACTAAATCATTATTAAGATTTTGTTGTTAACCTATTCTAAACTATTTTTGTGCGTTCAAATTTATTTTCCCTATACAAAATATACGAAAAAATGCAACGAGTAATCAAAAAAAAAAAATTAATAATTTTTAATGTATGTTAAAAAGCAAATATTTAATAATAAATTAAATGCTCAAGTTTAAAACAAAACTAATAGTTCCTAGATTGATAACATTAAAATTTTCTCGACAGGGTTATAAATATACCTACGAAAACATATCTATTAATAAAGACAGCTAATTTTCTTTTTTGAATTTGAAAAAACCAGAATGAAAATTTTAAATAAATTAATTTTTACCATCGAGTCAGAGGTTACTTTATATAAAAATTCCAACCGGGCACAGAATGAATTAAAATTTATTGTAAATTTTAACAAAGTGGCGACAAAATTCTGTGCAGCCGGAAGTCCTTTGTTATCGTGATAATAAAATGGCAGTAAGTTTTATGACAAAGAGTGTAGTATGTAACTGATAACAAAATATTAATTTTCGATAATTAATAATTACTTAAAAGTATTAAATGTTCATGCATAGATGTCAGTATTAAGCAGTATATTTTTTTAATATTTACATTACATTAATTTTTGTTAATAATGAGTAATGTTCCGCCGAAATTTTACGAGTTATGTAGGCTGTGTTTGTCATGCGACGGGGTTAAGCTATCATTATTCGGTGAAGAAGCCATTTCCCGCAAATTTCTATTTAAAATTATGACTTGTCTTTCAATAATGGTAAGAGAAATAACTTTAAATTTTATGGTTGGGTTTGAATCCAGTCTGTCAGTCAGAATTGCTGTTTATTCTACGTAAAATTTGCAATTACAATGCGTTCAAAACAAGTTGTGATAGATGAGATAAGACTTAGGCAATATGGCGACGGCGTCTCTTGATATGCTTATTCTTTGTCAAGATTGCCTTGATAATGAACTTATCATTTAAATTGTTGGCATGTTAAAAAGATTATTGCACCACAGTAATTATTTAGTTTGTGTATTTTTTTTTTTCAGTTTAATTCATAAAGTTTATTAATTTACATTTGTTTTTTTGTTTCGTATTAAAGTCATTGCATAAAATTTGAAAATTCAAGTAAATAATAATTTTTTATTATTTGAATATAATTTAATTTAAGCTTGAACGAAAAATAGTAGGACTTATAGTGGCATTCAACGGTATTTGAGCCTTTTTTAATTAGCAATAATTTTTAAATTTATTTTTTAAATTGTTTAAAATTTTTAATGTTGAGATATATATAATTTATTATAAAATAGATATTATGACAGAAATCAATTTTAATTTTATATTTATTATTCAGGTTCTTTTATAAATTAAATTGTAATATTAAAATTTAACATTAGATTGATGTCTAATGTTTTTTAATTTATTTATGTCTTAACATGTGATGTCTAATATTAATGTAAACTGTAATGTTAAATTTTATTTTAAAGGAAACGAGGATATTTTTTTTTTTTAAATAATTATTTAAGTCATGCCTTATAATTTCGTGTTGTCAATATTTTTATTATTTATTTTATTCGAAATTTCCAAATTATTTCAATCATAATTTTGTATTATTTTTATGTTTTTTTGTGATCTTTTTTACAATTTATTACAAGCTAATTTAGTTTATTCAATAATAATAAATAATTAATACATAATTTAGAGTAATTACAATGTATAAAATTTTTAAAAAAAAACTCACTATTAATCGATTTTGGAATTTAAGTAAAATTGATTTAGATTGACCTTTACAATAATTTGATTATTCATAATAGTGATTCATCTCATATCCAAGAAAATCAATGATTTAGATAAATAAAGTGTTAAAAATTTGTAAAATAATTTTTTTAGGTTTCAAAAAGTGATTCTCTACCACCATCTATATGTCATCGCTGTGTCTACAAATTAGATGTTTTACATGATTTTCGTGAAGTTTCAAGAAAATCAGAAGTTATATTAAAGCAATATTTGGGATATATGGACCAACTGAAAAATGGGAAAGCTAATCCTGAAAATGTATGCGAATTACCAACGACCAAGGATTTAGTTACAGTTTTGCCAGAAACAGGAGAAGATAATTGCTTGAGTCAGGAACCTTTAAAAGAAGAATCGGAAAAAAATTTTGAAACAATAAATAAAAATCTTTTCGAAGAAGAAGATAAGGATACGATAACATTAAATTCAATATTAGAGCCTACAAAACTTAAAAAAAAATCATTAGTTTCTATTTTGGAAAATTCAAATAATGTTGGTAAAATCACAAAGTCTGATAATTTGGAATCTGATGTTGTTAAAGAAATTAAAATTGAAAGTGATAAGGAAGAAGTTAAAATTAATGATAAAAGTAAAGAGTTATCAAAAGACGATTCCAGTTTAAAAATACTTGAAAAATGCCTACTTAACGGTAGCAATGGTGTGTACAAAAGTAGCAATAATGAGCCATCCAAATATTCACAGAATGAAGAAAATAAAACAAATGAATCTGATATAGGGTTGAGTAATGAAATAAATGCTTTAGAAAAAGAAGTCAAGCAAGAAATAATCAAAGACATTTATGAGAACGGTTTGATAGATACGAATTTGTATAATACAAGGAGAAACACCGTGACGATTGTACTGAACGAAAGCAAATGCAAAGTTGAAAATGAGAGTAATGATATAGACATTAAGAAAGAAAATAATTTGTACGAAAATGAAGATAGTTCTGAAGATGAAGGTCAGTTAGTAATTGCCGACGAGGGTATCGATGCGGAAGGAGATAAAAAGAACACGGTGGTAAGAGTCACTCCAGAAGGAAAGTATTATGAATTTGGTAACCGGATTTATGGTGAACGAGAAAGAGAAGCAGCTGAAGTATTGCAAGCAATAAATAGTCAATACTTGGGACCGCCAAAAGGAGAAGCTAGTAATTTATTAAGAAAATTAATTTTTTGTAAAAACAATAGAACTGAAAATTCCGTTTTGAACAATTGTACAAATTTTCAAAAGAATGACGAAATTAAAAATGGGTCGACTATATATAATAAAAGGAAAAGGAGTTACCCGGTGAAAACTGTACAGGAAATAAATGGAAAGGTTCCAACAAATTATGATGAAATTGCTGGAGAAGACGATGAAATCGGAGAGGAAATTCATATCCCGGAATTTGGTATTCCTTCAACGGAAAGTTCTCATCCTTTTCCCCGCATCGATTTTCCTAATTTAATAAAGAAAGCTAAAGACTCGAAATCGGATATAAAGCGAACGGATTTGAGCTGTACAAATTGTGGCACTTGCACGACAACCATTTGGAGAAGAAATGCATTGGGAGAAATGGTCTGTAATGCTTGTGGATTATATTTTAAATTGCACGGAGTAAACAGACCGATGAATATGAGAAGAGATACGATACATACGAGACGTCGACGGGCTAAGGGTGAAAAACCAAGCAGGAGAAGGTCATCGGCGAATTCTATCACAAATGGGGACGGCCCTGACGAAATGCTAGCAGCATTAAGGAGACAAATCAGTCCTCAGCTTTTATTGGCAAGTTTACAGCATACGAATCAAGTACCTCAGCAGACTCATTCAAATTCAGGTATGTATTTTTTTTTTTTCTCTAAATCTAATTATAAAAATTTAAAACAATTTTATCACAATTTGTAAAAATTAATTTAATTAAAGGTAAAAATCAAAACATTCAAATTCAATCGCCGCACAATTCTCCACCTCATTTAATAAATTCAAAACATCATCAAAATGGTAAAAACTTTATACCTATGCTACCTGCGGGTTTAACAGTGACGACGGTAAATCCGCCTGGACCTCCAGCTTCATACAGCGCGCATATTCAAACAGCAGAAGCATCGGATGGCGATGAGGATGACATGGACATGAGTGAACTTCCCCTTAATCTTGTTTCGACGTCTTTGGATGACGACGACGAGTCTTAGAAGTAAGTAACAAAAAATTCGTCTCTTGATCTATTTAATTTTCGTAATTATTAACCATTATAGATTTCTTATTTTACAAAAAAAAAAAAAAAATTTGTTCTACAACAATAATAGTTACTAAAAAAAAAATAAAATAAAATAAAATTTCAGTATGAGTTTGATGGGGGGGGGGGAAAGTATGCTCTTAATTTTTTTTTTTTTTAACGTGTCAATTCTAAGAAGTGTTAAAAAAAATATAAAATGAATTTTCTTATTACACACTTACTCTATTTTGTGATACTTGTAAAATTTTCAATACTTTATATATATATATATGACAATTGAACATTATCTGGCACGAACAAAATTTGAGCCATTATTTTTATATATATATATATATATAATTGATTAAAATATGATCAAATGTAAGAGTAGTAGATGTAGTAGATATAAAAAAACAGACAAATATTAATTAAAATACTCTCTTTCATTTTATTATTATTATTATTATTATAAAAATTTTTTTTTTTTCTTTTTTAAAACTTTTATTTTATTTTTTT